TAGGGAAAGTAGCTTAAAGTATGGCCTACTAACGTGGCTTAATGTGTATGGCCTTTCCAGTCACGGGAAGTCCACTTGATTGAGATAATTATTGACATAAACAAGTAATGTTACAGGCAGGTCTAGTCAATCTTCTGCACTTGTTGCAATAATTACACTGTCAGTAGCTGAGTCATTATTTTACAAACTGCAGGCAGACAGCTTAGGTGGCAGAGTGTGTTTATTGTGTGTATGCACTTCTGCTTTTACAGCATGAACAGGTAACTCTAAAACAAAGCATCTGTGATTTTTTTTTTTAATGAATAAGTAGTAGTTTCGCTGGCTTAATTTTTTATCTGTATTGTTTCCCTGCAGGTCAAGGCAACAGATGCAGATGCTGACCAGTTTGGTGAAATTGAGTATTTTCTTTACGATGGATTTCATTATTATGAAAAATCCAAAGCCTTCCAGATTGACCCACGTACTGGTCAGATCTGTGTATCTCAAGACATTGACAGAGAAGAAGATCCAGCCACGTATGATCTCTTAGTAAAAGCTGTGGATGGGGTAAGTTTCGCCTTTCCATACTGCCAGATTTGTAAATGTATTTGCAAATTTGGATGTGCTGTATACTTTTAAATGAGAATGTAATGAGCATGTAAAAATTGCTTGAATTTGAATAAAATTTCTTACCCCTACAGAGTGTGGAAAGTGATGCTTCATGAACCATAAATTTTGACCCAAACTGATAAAATTGGCTGTGAAATCTCCAATTAGTCCTAATTAAGTTGTTGAAAACTGCTTCTAGGAGATGTTAGTCCCTGCTGATTTTCCTCCTCCTCTTGGAACCAGTGGACTCCAGGTTACCCCTGCTCCCTGCTTTCAAGATGCCTGCAGCAGTAACAAACCTGTGACTTGTGCTAGAGCTGCGTGGCTACTGTGGGTGCCAGTGATTTTCTTGGATAAATTCCTTGTCCTTTCTAGCCGGCTGATGCCGTTGCTGCTGCTGTGCTTGGTACAGCCTCCCTGCAGCAGCATGTCTGCAAGTTTTCCCACTTTACCAGATCTGGTGCTTGGAAGTGGGTATTCATGGTACAGCGTTGGCAGCGTAGTTGTATGTGCCTGAAATCGTCCAGTTCAGATCTCTGTTTGGCAAGGAGGGTGAGGACACGTTTGTTGTGGTGGGAACACATTGCTGTCTAGCTGTGGATGCTTGGTCTACCTGGTGCCATGTAATGGAAAATTTTGGTAGCGTGACTCCTGAAAAAGACTGGAAGAAAATAATTCCTGGGTTCATTTTGTTATGAAAGTATCCAAAGGCGATTTGCAGTGGGAGGCCCAGAAGGAGACCAGATGCTACTTTTCTTACCTTTCTTCAGTTTTAGTAGTGAACTGCTAACAGGCTGAAGAAGGTTACTGATTGGCCTCAAATATTAAAATTAGCATAAGGACACTTCAAAAAATGTTATTCAGGTCACATTTTGCAGCACAATTTGAGCTGAAAAACACTGAGATTATTTCAGGCTATATAGTCTTTATTTCATACCTTGAATATTAAACTTGCATTTAAGATACTGTGCTAAGCGTATCTAATATAAAATTTTAAAAACACAGTTGTGCTAGAAATCCTGTATTTTTTTCATTAAAATGTCTATGCTTTTTTTTAAAGTACCCTGAAGAAACTTGGTGAACTATGCTTTCCATATTCATGAGTAGATGAACTTAAATAGCTGCAGTTGATGCTTGGTATTAGTTGTTGCATTTTGAGACTGTAGTAGTTGAGGGTATATTTTTATGCTGTTGAATTTGGATACATGTGCAATAGTTAAGCAATTCATCTGCTTTTTTTTCTTTAGCTATGACTATTCAGTGTTTATTTCAGAGGCTACAGAAGCATTCTCTTGTATTAATAGTGCCTTTAGCAGTGTGCCTTTCCTTCCCTATAGATTTCTTTTGAGCAGAAACAAGTATATAAGAATATTTTTTGTTGGTTTGTATGTTTGTTTCCTGACTTTATCTTATTTGAATGTCTAATAATTTAAGAATGTAAGTCTTCTAGTTAGGATAGTGTCTGTAATTTTTCCAGCAGAAGCAAGTCTATGTGCCCATTTTGGAATGCCAACAGTTAAAGGAAAACAGCCACAGTATTGAAACTATAGATTGTTTCATTTTTAAATTGGTGTGTCATTTATCTTCCTTTAGGGACCTTGCGTTTTCAGAAGTGGGAGGGGGATTCAGTTTTTGATTGCCTTGTTTGTGACAGGCAGGACTTGATCTTCTTACTGAACTTGGCACTTTGTAGATCCCATTGATTCCTCTTCTAAAAATTAGCTCATCTGACACCTAAATACTAAAGCACCTAAATTATTAGCTGTTCAGTATTTTCGGTATACCTGAACTTACGTTGAGCCACTCTCCACCTTTACAGCAGAACTGTAGAGGATGTTTTATCTCCTGGCATTCTGCTGCTGCTTTTGATGGATTAAAGATGTTAGGTGTGGGGTTCAAAGTGGAGGCTGTGATCAGAGGAGAAATGTGTGCAGAAAAGACAGAAGAAGAGTGAAGGGTCACTGTTGACAGAGAGGAGGGAGAAAGGTGAAGAGGAAAGGAAATAACAAAGTTAATTAGAAGTGAGGAGGAAAAGAAAGCATTTTCCAGGTGGTGCTCAGTTTATCTTGCAGCAAAACTCTGTTTCCTCCACCTGTTCATGCCTACTCCATTACACGGCTTTGTAGCTTGTTGGCCATGTCTTTTATGCGCTGTGTAGAAAGTGTAATAGGAGAACTGAAATTGCACACTAGAGGCAAGTGGAAAACAGATTCTGTTGAACTGGTGTTAAATAAACATCCTGTGAGAGTTGGTGGGAGCATTCGTACTGATTAAGTCACTGAGAAGTCCAGAGATTTGGGTCTGTGGAGGGTTTTTTTTGTCCTTTCCCTTTGCAGAGTGAACTGCCTTGGTTATGTTTTCTGTGAGTGAAGTTCTTGAGTGCTGTGATAGGGCTGTCCTTAATAATGAGTTGAAGGCTGACACTGAAAGGTGTTGGGAGGCTTTTTGGTGGGTTGGTTTGAAAATCCATGCCCCAGTGCCTTTTTTGTCATTTTGTCTGTTTTTCCCGAGTCTGACTCTGTTAGGCTCTGGTTTTGGCGTATTCCAGGATTCACTAGTATATAGTGTTTCAGGTACCTTCTAAATGTGTCCGTGCTCCACAGCTTTTTTTTGTTTTTTTTTTTGTATTTTTCCTTGGTCACATTGTGAGTGAGGAGGGAAAGATGGAGCTTTTTGTTTGAGTTTCCTTTTTATTCTGGACTACAGTCACAGCTTTTTGATGTTGTTAGGGTTGGAGACACTTGAGGACATGTGTCTTTCATCCTAACTCGTTGGCCTAAGGAAGCCATGCCCACTGTAGTGGTAGAATAGAACAGACTATTTCAGCTGGAAGGGACCTGCAATGATCATCTAGTCCAGCTGCCTGACCAGTTCAAGGCTGACCAAATTGAAGCATATTGTTAAGGGCATTATCCAAATGCCTCTTGAACAGTGACAGGCTTGGGGCATCAACCACCTCACAAGGAAGCCTGTTCAAGTGTTTGACCACCCTCTCAGTGAAAAAACTCTTCCTCTTGTCCAGTCTAAACCTCCTCTGGCACAGCTTTGAACCATTACTACGTGTCCTATCATGGGATACCAGGGAGAAGAGATCAGCATAAAGAGTGAGGCAAAAACCAGACTGAATGCCTCCACTTTTTCTTCATCCCTATTAGTCAGATGACCATCTTCAAAAAGTATAGCTCCAGTGTTTTCTTTAGACCTCTTCTTGCTATTAGTGTACTTGAAAATTTCTTTTTCCTCTTGACTTCCATGAGGAGTTCCCTCTTCAGCCAAGCTGGTCTTCTGCCCCACTTGCTTGACTTACAGCACAGTGGAATTGCCTGCTCCTCTGCTTCTAAAAGGTGGTTCTTAAAGACTGACCAGCACTCATCGACTCCTAAGCCCTCAACAGCAGAATCCCAGGGTACTCTGCCAAATAGTTCCCTGAATAGCGGAAAGTTTGCTCTCCTGAAGTCCAGGGTAGCAACTCTGCTGTCCTTTTTTCTCATTACACTGAAAATTTTAAACTCAAGCATTTCATGATCACTGTGGCCAAGACAGCTACCTACCATGACCTCTCCCACAAATCCTTCATTCACAAACAGCAGGTCTATGAGGGCATCTTTCCTAGCTGGCTTCCTGAGTACCTGTGACAAAAAGTATCTCCTACAGATGTAAAGAATTTCCAGGACCTGCTTGTCACAGCAGTATGATATTCTCAGTTGATGTCTGGGAAGTTGAAACACCCCATAAGGACCAGGGCTACAGATCCAGAAATTTCTCCTAATTGCCTGTAGAATAACTCACCAGTGCTTATATCCTGGCTGGGTGATTGGTAGCAGATACCCACTACAACATCTTTGTTTTCCATCCCCCTAATCCTCATCCAGAAGCTCTCAACCACATCATCACTAACTATATGGTCTGTGCAATAAAACCTCTTCCTTACGCACAGTGTGACACCTCCACCTCGCCTGCCCTGGCCATCCCTCCTGAACAGCCTGTAGCCCTCCATCCCAGCGCTCCAGTCGCGGGACTCATTTCACCAGTGCTTCTCTCTTAACCCTGCACATCTGTTAGCCTTTGCCTGGACTAAGATCTGCTGATTTTGGGACATAGGTTCTCCAAAGGAAACAGTGTCCATGTCATAGGAAAAAGCCCATGGGAGTAATTTCTGCCAGGCAGTGGTGGAGAGAAGCAGAAGAGTGTGCAGCCTGCCTTTGCTCTGGAGCATGGGGGTGAAGCCCTGCAGCCCTTGGGCAGACCTGACTGAGCTGGGGATGCAGCGTGGAGGGAGACTATTCAGTGTGTCCATCTGCTAATCTGGGCAGCTCCTTCCCTGTCCTCTTGTTAGAAGCTGTTGGCGGACAGCAGCACAGTGGCACAGAGCCGCTTTTTTATGTGCAGGCTACAGGGCATGTCCAGTACTCCAGTTCAGGGAGAGTGCTCTGAAGACCTTGTGAGTGCTGCAAGGACTTACAGGGTATCTGTTGTGACTGAGGTGGTCTTGTGCAGGGCAGTATGAAAGTGCTTTTGACAGCAGGGAGGTGGTCTGCAGACTTGCAATGCAGGCAGCTTCACTTGAGTGAAACAGCCTGCCAATGGTGTATTGAACCTCTTGCAGTCATTATGTAGCAGCTGAACAACTGAAGACCTAGCATTCCCTGTAAAAGAAACAAGGATGCTTCTTTTCATCACCAGTTTATTAGTATTAAGATAAGATGACTTTTAGTTGCCATCTTTTCTAGATTTCTATCTTTGTGAGTCTTATGTCTTTTTATCCTTTTCTCTTTTTTTTTTTTTAAAGATCAGGCCTTTTGAATGCTGAAAACTACTTGAAAATTAGATGTACTTGTAGAAACTAGAATAACAAACTAAGAATTTTAAATACAGTGCTTTAGATCATACATCTCATCTAACTGCATATGCAAGTGCATCTGCTAAATATGAAGGTACAGTTATATAGAGGATTGTGATCACATCTGTAATGTATGCTCAAGATTATCACTTACTGAGTTTACTCAGGATTATATGCTTCCTTAGGCAGAGAGGTGTTACTACTTAACTTAGGAAGCAGACTTTCAAAATTCAATTTAAATGCTCTGAGAATGTTTGCATAGGCAATTAAAGTGCACATATGTGAAAAATTTGAAAAAGAGGAAAGACTGAGCTTTAGCTTCACATATTGTGCATAAACCACCCTCTCTGTCACAGAACACTTGGTTAAAGCTGCCTGATAGTATTGACTCCAATACTATGCCTGGGTTTCTTCAAAACCATTTATTTTATATGTAATTGCACATAATGACTTTCCAGGTCTGTTGCTTAGAATAGGAGCATTGACATGCTGAGGGACAAGTAGGTAAGCAGTTCACCTGAATAGTAAGAGTATTTTTTCTTTCATGAAAGTGTGTTTCCTTTCAAAGAAAGAACAAAAAAATAAACAGGCATAATTCCCGATTTGATGTGATGAGATTGTAAGTGGAAGTTTTATCATGGAAAGAATAGACCAGGCTTGGGCTTCAAGGCTGAAGTGCAATGATACATTTTTGGGAAATTTATAGTGTGTTTTCTGAACTCTTTGAATTTACATCACTGGCAGCAGATTATGAAATTGCCTGTCAATTTAGAGTATGGCATTACCACCTTTTCTGTTACTGCTCATCTTTAAATGAGTACCAGAAAAATCATTCATTAAATATGTAAACTCTGCCGGTTATGTAGGTCGGTATTTATTTGGACTCTGAAGAACTTGTAATAATAATACTGAAACCTTAGTAACTCACTGCCTACAAAAAATACTGCATAGAAAAAAACTTTGTTCTTCATCTCTTGCTTTTTGATAAATTACGCTGCTTGTCCAGCTTTCTTTGTCTTTTATACTGAAGCCATTGAAACATAGACTTTGAAAAGTGCAGGCTTCTTCCTCAGTTTGTATCTTAATGTACTGCATACAGCGCATGCAGTCTATACATATGTGTGCTGCTTTGTGCCTCCTTTGTACATGTCAGTGCCCCAGGATTCACCGTTAGCTGTGCCACAAGTGGAGCTGTTCTCTTTTAAAAAAGTGTATAGTTGTTATGGCTGTAAAATAACCTTGGAAATATGAAGCCCTCCAGACTGATGGAGGGAGTCCGCAGGGAGTACGGGGTAGTGCCTCTGAGAAGTAAATTGCCATTTATTTCACTCAGGGCCCTGTGAGGTCTACACTTGAGCACCCAAAGAATTGTCTTTTTTCCAGATTGTCACAAAATTCAGCACTTTGCCATGGCAAATCGTGACTTTGCTGTAGCGTTGTTTGAGAAGTCATCTCGGAGTTGCTCCTCACGTCTCTGGTTTTACTGTGGAGCAAGGCTAAACGTAGTTCCATGGTTGCCCACGTGGTATTTCAATGGCTCTCGGTGGGCGCCTGTTGCAGGAGCTTCAACCGTGTGGAGAGCAGTGCACAGGCTGGGCTGGGGACACAAGTGTCAACACTGCTACCAAGGGCTGGCTTTTTTCCCAGCTCTTTGTGTAGGCAAAAGAAACAAGAGCAGAGAAGTTGAGAGAGGCACCCTAGAAAGCATGGTGAGACCTCTTTCCCAGTGAGACCGCTTTCCCTGCAAAATCACAGATGTGCTAGAAATAATGTTATGTAATCTGTTACAAATTTGACATCAATAAATTGTTACAGCTATGTCCTTCAGTCGAATTTGGTATTGCTCTGTCTCTGTGTACACAAAGTAAAGGTGTGGGTATGTATACAAGCACATGTGCAGACATACAGAGATATATATATATACACAAATATATATATAGGGGTGTAGATACACACACACTGCATGAGCAGAACTGCTTAAACCTGCCAGGGTGGTAAACTGAGGACAGGCCTTGCAGTCAGCAGCCTGACTGGTCAGCTTTTGGCTGTCCTGCACTGCTCTGCTCTCAATCTGTGTTCCTAATCAGTAGCTGAAAAAGCCTCATAGTCGTTGTTGTGATGGTTACACTTTTAAACCTGAAGTACTCATAAACAGAAAGAAGTTATTCCTGCTTTACTGGAGCACCACAGTCCCCTGAGGGGCATGTGTTTCTGGGGCAGAAAGCCCTGACTTTCATCTGTGAAGGAATAAGTGGTGTGTAGGTGATTATAGGAAGAACAAGTGAGGTTAGACTAGCAAGGATTTGACATGTGTAGTGCTTGTTAGTATTAACAAAAATAACTTTGTGTTCAGGCGTCACTGTTGTAAGAAGTTGAACTTCTTTGTGTACAGTCAGCCCACTGGAGTGGTTCTGAGCATGTAGCCTGCCTAAATGGAGTATTTTTGGGTACTACAGATACCATAAGTTGTTTTTAACAGACATTTTCATTGCTTAATATTGTTGCATTATGTTCTGTTTCCTAACAATGGGCTGAATCCAGATGTGCATCATTCTAATGTGTACACTTATAAAATTGACCTAGATTTTTGTTTTTATCTTTCTGATATATCCTACAGGGTGGGCTGAGTGCCCAAGCTTTTGTTCGCATCGAGATAGAAGATATTAACGATAATCAACCTGTTTTTGAACAAGCCATCTATGTGACGAGCATCAGCAGTCACACACAGCCAGGAACAGAGATCATCAACATTGTTGCCACAGACAGAGATTCGGGAATATATGGTGTTGTCACATATGAACTGGTCCCGGGAGAATTTTCTTCCTTTTTCACAGTGGATGCATCTACAGGTACTGTATGATTCTGTGATTCAGAAAGGCTATAATTGCACAACAAGTATCTTTTCCTTGACAATGCTTTTTTTATTTGGAGTCATGTCATACAGCTGAAACTTAGATTCTGCTGGAAAATAATTCTAGAGGAGGATAGAGGATTTAGGTTTAACATGAAGCCTTTGCGTTCGCTGGAATAAACAGGAGAATGGGAAACAGTACATACCAGTACAATAGCAGTATGCCACTTACCCACTCTTTTCAGCAGTAATCTATTCATCACTGTAAGAAATAATCAAAATATTATTTTGTACAATAATATCTGAATTCCTGAAGTGTTTAGGTCTTACTCTTGAGGAGCAATAAAAGACCCTTCAAGATGCTTGTCCTTTCATTTCATCTCTCTGTCCTAATCTTCTTTCCTCACACTGTGCTGGAATAAGTCCCCATACTGCTCACAGTCTTACAATATCCAGCTGCCTCCCTGTTTGACTCTATGATTAGCTTTGTAAGTGTCTTTTCTGCCTATTACTTCCTGATGTGACTCTTTGTCCTTCTGGCTTCTGGAGAGGTTCAATGCAGCAGTGATGATGAGAGCAAGAAAACAATTACGGCAAAAACAAATCTGGGTGAATTTTTTCAAAGACAGGTTTAATCTTGCAGATTGAATTACTTTTCCCATGGCCACAAAGCAGTCCCTGTAGTCTGCTTTCTAACCTTAAAATAGTTACGAACATCAGCTGTGTACAACCAGCATACCTACAAATGTCCACGGTGCCTTTCAGAGTGGTTAACTAAACTGCAGCAACCACTTTACTTGAGAGCCAGCCCTTGCATGTGAATGTATCCTGATGAATGGTTTTGCTTCGTGATGGTCATGACACGGGATTATTTTACATGTTTTAATTATTTTTGGGGCTGTTGTATGTGCATATATATTAGCTGTTTGGCATACGAAATATTGCAAGGCTTTATTCTTTCAAAATGGTGTCTATTTTTACTTTCTTACAGGGTCCCCAAATATCCTGATGAACAGAAGAAACTAATCTTCTTAGGAAGCTAGTCTGCTTGTCTTGGTTATTTCAGAATTTATTTAACTGTGGACTTTTAACTGCCTGTCAAATCAGATTCTCTGGGGCATAACTGATGCCAAAAATATATAGGTCAATCAGTAACTAGGGAGCCGGATCTCCACAGGCGTTTAACTGGTCACTTCAAAACTGTCCCAGTAGGCTTGTCAGAGAGAGCCCCTGTGGATCACGCTTGCAGCACTGGCTTTGCAGCGGTCCTCTCTTCTGAAAGGCTTCTTCCTCGGTTTGTGACCTTTTGGCCTTTTTTTCCAGTTTTGGCACTTCGTATAGGAAAAATGTCATGCTTAATCACGAAGACCATATAAGTTTATAAGTTGTTATTATCTTGCAGATCTATCATAGTATTTTATCAAAGGCACACCAAATTCAGGGTGAAGTTTTTTGAGGTCATTATTGCTGACATTTCATGGTGAGAAGAGCATTTAGGTCAGAGACACTATTCCCACATTATAGTGCTTGGAATCCTGATTGCACTTAATCGCATCTCCTGGGTAATTCACGAGGTCAGACTGTGTCTAATGTTAACTTTATTAATATTAATGGTGTGTGGTGTTATTTTTTTCTGAAGAAAACAATTTTTCCTTTTATATTCTTCCACATAAGAATGATTTTGAGACTCTTGGCAAAAATAAACATTATAAACAAAATAAACATTAAAACTACCAATTTGTCACACAGACTTTTTGCAATCTTTGCAGATTAAATAGCTGTGAAGGCTGTTCAGTATTCAGAGGAAGATGAAACAAGTGGGTCACTGTTAGGGCACAGAAATCTCGAGCTCTTCCTCCTTACTTCTTGTTAGGACAGTGACATTTTCCAGTTTTCTTTGTGCTAAAGCTGTCTTCATATGCTCTGATATACAGCCTAATTTAGACGTATCTCTCTGAAGGTTGTGTGAGGGACTTTATCTAGTTATGTGGGCTGCATTTTGTGAACAGAGGGCAATGGACGAGCATGACAAGAAACAGAAATTCTTCAGGAGGTGGATCCCCAAACCCGTAAGCCAAATAAGATCACATTACAGTTTTGGTCTTTGGTTTTCTGAGCTTGTGGACGTGCAGTCTGTTACTGATGTGTTCTGCAGTTTTTCCAGTTTGCAGTATGGCATGTTGTGGTTTATCTGCTCTTTTAATTATTAGAGGACCTAAAAGGAGGCATAGCAATGGTGTTGGAGTCTTCCATGAATTTGCCTTCCTTATTTTTTAAATGATTGGCTTTTCTCACTGATAAAGCATTTAGAAATGAGGAATGAAAATCAGTGCATTAGTGTTTTTGACTTATTATGTTTTTTATAGCCTTTAGCATTATATGTAGAGGTGGACAGAGAGATTTTCAGTATTATGAGATTTAAATTAATTAGTAGCTAACAGTTTGTCACATGACACTAAGATGCATTACAGTCATATGCAAGATGACGCTGTTTCTTGGCATATGCAATTTCTATTTTATGGCATCTATATTGTGGATTTGAAAATTTATCTCACTATAGTTTTCTTCAGGGGTGTTTTTAGAGTGCTGCACTTAGAACACTCTCTAAAGATTCACTTTTTTTCTGCATTCCCTTTTTCATTTTTAAAAGAGAAATGGATAAAATAATAAAAACTGTAACTCGATTTCTCCACTGCTGTGGCTTGCTCCTGGCTGCTGCTTTGTTAAAGCAGTTGTGCGGATGTATCAAGAAAGCTTTTAGCTTTGCATAGCGAGCTGTGTTCACAATACAGGATATCTTACCAGCTGGTCAACCACTGACTGTATAGAATATATCAATGGTGTTTTTGATGCATAGATATTATGAGGTTGAGCCACATCCAAGCTCCTTGAAGAGGCTCCATCTTTTGTTTCAACCACTGTGACATGTAGATGTTGTTCATAGATAAATGCAATGGGAGTGGGAAGGAAGAGCCTTTCATTGAGCACATAGATATTCCATTAAAAAGGTTTTGTAATTCTAAGCAAGTATTTATTATTGGTGTTTATTTGCGATTTTAGCTTTTAGATACTGCATTTATCGTTTGTGATATGCTGTTAAAATAACATCTATTGCACTTCAAGATAAAACTGAAATGAAGTATTTTTAATTTGATTGATGATAGACTGTCCACAAGAAAAACCACTTTAAGAACTGTGTAACTAGAAAAATGTATGGATAGGAAACTGTAAACCAGTTCCTGTGCTAGTTCGTGACTCTTGCTGTCATTTGTTTCTAGTGTTGGTGTAAACAACATCTTGGCTTCATTATTATTTCCTTTTGTAGATACGTGATCCATGCATGATCTATGAACAGCACTCATGAATTGATTAGAACAGAGCAAGCTGAAGAGCTCTTCTGGCTAAGAAAGCATTTCAGCTATGTTTGTTTATTTTCCCATTGTTACGTATCAAGCTATCCGAAAGACAGTGTATTTATAGTTGTGGCGGAGCAGGTAATTAAAAATGGAAGTCACAGGATACAATCACAAGTGTGGCAGAAAACCTATGTATTACTTTAAGACTTTGGGATTAAAAATTGAATTTATAAACTTTCATTATGTTACAAGCATAAATATTTTCCTTCACCCAAGGACATACAATTAATTTTTCCATTGATCTTAGTGATACTCTTCTTGAGAGCTGGATAAAAAGATGGTTGTCATCTTACTGTAGCCCTGGTTCAAGGAAGCTGTTTCAAATCAACAAAATTAATAACAGTCTTTGAAATTAATTTTAGGCCAGTGTGACTGCATGTGTCAGTCTTCAGGTAAATGGTCTGTTCGTGTTCTTAGAACAACTCCCCTAGCTAGTCGCTGTGTGCAGAGAAAACTCTCATGAAAGCTAAGTAAAAGGCAGCAGCCATTGATTTATATTTATTTGAATGTATTAGTGATTTAAACCTAGTATGAAAAGGACGTAGAGAAAGCAGCATTAACACAGTGTATATTATGGCAGTATAAGCATTTAACTTAGTTTCTCTGTTTCTTTCTTTAGACTAAGATATTTAGTCTTGTGTTTCTGTGAATCCTACCTAAATTAGATGCCTAAAACAGAGGCTGTGACTGTCCTCCTTTGTATTTTACTGAGAATGTTTCTGTGAGGACTTTGGAGATGATTCCATTGACTTGAAGATACTTGGATCAAACTTTTGTCGCAATACCATCCATTACTTATTTACTCAAAAAAGTCCATTTTGAGTACAACAGGCAGGCCTTGTTACAAGAGCTGGTTAGTTGTTTATCATTAAAATTTTTTTTTCAGTACAAGGTACAGCTTTTGCTACATAAGCGTTCTTTTGAGGAAATCTTGGCTTGCTAAAAATTCATGAATTTCCTTTAAGATGCATTCTGATTTCTTTTTATCTAAAGAGCATAGGGCATCACGTGACTAAAATGTCCTGGAAGAGATGCAGAAAAGTCTAGGGGCTTAGTCCATTGGAGAAGAATGAGAGGAGGAATAAATCTGAAGGACATGCATATTTAAGAATATAAGAATTGTTAACTCAATCAGCCAAAAGGCAGGTCTAGATCCAGTATCTTGTCTCTTTAACAGTGCCTGGTAACAGATGCAAAAGCAGGGGTTGAGAGTAGAGCTTGTGCAGAATGGTCCCTCCACTTGTTTATTTTTTTTGTTTTGGCAGTGTGCAATTTAGTGCAGTACTACTTCCATTACTGTACTATGGCACCATATGTAAATGCAATTTAATGTCAAACTGACTTAAAATAAACTTTCTGATTTGGTTCAGAACACCAGAATAGATTCATTCCAGTTAAGGATGCTGACAAGTTTTGTTTTGTTGAAGAAAATAGAAATGTTGTTGTTTAACAGTCACACCTTAGGAGTTTTTCATTGCATGAAAATTTTGCGCTTTTTTAATTACAGTACAGGTTGAAAACAAAAGTTGAAATACCAAAATTTCTTTTTGGGGAAAAAATATCCAAATTTTGCTTAACTCCG